CCTCCTCCTCCTCGTCCTTCGGTCCTTTTCGTCCTTCGGTCCTCCCTCCTCCTTCGTCCCTTTTCGTCCTTCCTTCCCTCCCTTCCCACTCCGCCCCCCTCCTCCCTCCCCTTCTTCCATCTCTGCTGCCCTCAGCTTACTTGTTACGAGACTCTCGTCCCATCCTCGGTTCTTCGCAGAGGATTCAGTTGCGAGCAGGGAAGTTGAAGCAGGAGCTTCCTCCTCCTCCTTTCGTTTCGCCTCATCTCTCCTCCTCTCCTCCTCTCTTTTTCTCTCCTCGTCCTCCTCTTTTCTCCGCTTCTCTTCCTGCCGTCTTGAGCTCTCCTCTTCAACCACCTCCTCCTCTTTCTGCCTATGCCGCTGATTATTTTCTTTTCCTCTCGCACTGTCAAGCAGGTCTAGCACATCCTCCTAGAGGCAAGTCACACGACAGCAGTCGCAAAGGAGATCTCACCTCTTCCTCTTCTTCCTCGTCCTCGTCCTCGTCCTCGTCCTGATCTTTTTGCGTGCTCATTGCCATGTTGACTGGCTCCTCTGTGTTCTCCTTGTTCCGCAGCTTGCGCCAAGTATGATTCTCCTCCTTTCCTTCCTCCTCCTCCTCCTCCTCCTCCTCCTCCTCCTCCTCCTCCTCCTTCTCCTCCTCCTTCGCCTCCTCTTTTGGTTTCTCCTCTACATAATCATCTTGATCCTCATCCTCGTCCTCCTCAAATTCCTCTTCCCCGATGTATTCTCCCTCCTCCTTCAAGTGGTTGGGGGATGGGGAGTGCTTCTCCTCCTCTTGCGCCGCTTGTTCCTTCGATTTCTCTTGACGGTGTTTCAATCCTGCTTCCTCCCATTCCGTCTTGTCCTCCTTCTCCTCCTCCTCCTTGTCTATCCTCCCTTCGTTCTTGTCCTGCTCGTCCTCTGACTCAGCCAAGTCATGCTCATAAGCATCCACATTGGAATGATCCGTGGCGGAGGAGCGAGGGGAGAGCTTTGCTGGGAGCTCCTGCTCCTGCTCCTGCTCCTGCTCCTGCTCCTGCTCCTGCTCCTGCTCCTGCTGGGCCTTCTTCGAAACCATGCTCTCCTCATTAATAGTTGTCATCTCCTTAGCTTGATTCCCCCGCTCCTGATCCTCCTGCTTGTCGTCCTTGTCCTTGTCCTTGTCCTTGGTCCTCTTCCGGCTCTTTCCCTCTACCTGCGTCCTCGTATTCCTAGCAGCAGAAGCACCATCGCCTCCTCCTTCTCCTTTCCGCCCCTTTCCTCTTCCTCCTCCCTCTCCCTGTCCTCCCTCCCCCTCCTCCCCACCTCGATCTGAGCTGCTCCGCGACGGCCTGCCTGCCTGCCTGCCCTTGTACTTTTGCGCTCTCGCACTCCCGGAGCCCTCCTCCTCTCCTCCTCCGCCACTGGGAGGAGCGGACTTCCAGACCTTGGACGCAGGCTTCCGGGGTCGGGAGGGAGGAGGAGGGAGGGAGGGAGGAGCAGGAGGAGGAGAGACGAGGCCGTGTTGGACGAGGACGAGTCTGAGTCGCTTCTTTTCTGCCGGCTTCATGTTGAGCATGTTGAGCTGCTGGTCGGAGAGGGAGGCGAGGGCTCGAGGATGAGACACCTTGAAGACCCGATGCATCTCCTCGAGGTACCTGAGACGAGGAGAGAGGAGAGTGAGCGATCAGTGAGAGGGAGAGGAAAAGACAGAGAGAGGAGGCAGACGGAGGAGGGAAAGGCGAGGAATGAAAGGAAAGTGAACTGTGATGAAAGACAGGGTGAAAGGCGGGGCAGGAGGGTAGAGGGAGGGATGGAAAGGCCAACAGGAGAGAAATGGGATGGAGGAGGGAGGAACAAAAGCAGGAGGGCATGTTGGCTTACTTGGAAGGAAGTTTGGCGTCTTGGAAGAGAGGGAGGAGGAGAGGGTCAACTTCGTCCTCCCACCTCACCACGGGCTTGCTTTTGAGCTTCAGCTTCCTCTTGACCTTTTCTGCATACCCTCGTCCTCTCGCCACCTGATGACCCCAGTCAGTTCTGCAACCACCACCTCCTCCCCCTCCCCCCTCTACCCCCTCCTCCTCCTCCTCCTCCTTCTCCTCCTCTTCCTCCAAGTGCTCCTTCCCGTCCTCGACTGCTCACCTTGTCTAGCACGGCTTGCTTCTCCTCCTCTCTCTTCACTTGCGACTCGAGCACCATGGGCTTCAGGTTCACCACTTTGTGCTCTACATGATCCTGTATTGGCTCTGCGTCCTCAAGAGGGTAGGAGACAACACCGCGCATCTGACGGGGGAAAATCAAAGGATGGAGGGAGGTAGAAAGAGAGCGTAAGGAGGAGAAGAGGGAGGATTGAGAGGACGGGAAAAGGAGGGGCGGGGGGGATGGGGGAAGGATGGAAGAGAGGAGACAATGAAAGAACTGAGAGAAGAACGGAAACAGAGGAAAGCAGGCAGGGGAGGCAGGGAAGCAGAAAGAGTTTGGGGCGAGCATGGGGTTGTCGGAGGAGCGGAGGTGGGGGACAGGAGGGGACGAAGGACCTCTCGGATGTGCTGGATGTAGCGCTGTTCATGTTGCCTCATCTGGTCCAGCATCTGCTTCCTCTCCTCGGCACGTAAATGGATCTGCAGTCTCCTCTGCTCCGCCTGCTCCGCCTTCTGCTTCAACCATATCTAGAGGACGCGCGGGTTAGACAGAGGACCCAAGGGGAAGGGCAGGAGCAAGAAGCATGCGGAGCAGAGAACAATCCTAGGGAAGGTTGTGGAGGAGAGAGGAGAGAGGAGAGAGGAGAGAGGAGAGAGGAGAGAGGAGAGAGGAGAGAGGAGAGGGGAGAGAGGAGAGAGGAGAGAGGAGAGAGGAGAGAGGAGAGAGGAGAGAGGAGAGAGGAGAGAGGAGAGAGGAGAGAGGAGGTCAGGACGTGAGGGAGAGAGGGAGGTGAGGGGGGAAGGGAGAGAGAGAGTTTTGACCTGCTTCTGCTGCCTCGCCATCTCCTCTTGCATCTCGAGCTTCTTTTTCATCTCCTCCACCCTAATCATCTCCAGCTCCTGCTGCTTTGCCCGCCGGTCCCTCTGCTCCCTCCTCAGCTCAATCATCCTCCTCTGCTGCTGGAAGAACTCCGATGGTTCCAGCAGGTGGTTGGAGTACGCGTCCCTGCTGCTCTCCAGCTCGATCCTGCTCAGCTCCTCCTGCTCCTCAACCTTGTCGGGCTCGGGCTCCTCCTTCCTCCTCTTGATCTCCGTCTTCTTTCTGATCGCGTCGGTGATGGCGCTGTACTGCTTCCTCTTCTCTCTCAGCAGCTCCTTCTCAAGCTGCTTGCGCAGGTTCTCTTCCTCCTCCTGCAGCTTCTCCTCCTCCCATGCTCGAAGCCTCATCGCCTTCCTCTTACTGAAGCTCACGTTGCTCGAAAGCTCAGACGGCAGCCTCTGTATCCTCTCTGTCCGCTTCCCCGTGACATGATCGGCACTCAGCTGCTGCAGGCTCGGCGCTTCCTCCTGCTCCGGGATTGACTGTCTGCTCCTAGAACTCGGCATCTGCGAGCTATCAAGCAGCTTGCGATTCTCCATCGAGTCTTTGCGCAGCATGGGCGCCACCAGGACCATCTTGAGCCTCCTGTGAAAGTGCAGGACCCAACCTCCCCCTCCCCCTCCTGCTTCTGCTCCTCCTCCAGACACGAAGACGTCGTTGTCCGGGGAGAGTTTCACCCAGTCGCCCTCGACTCCTTCCACCTCCAGTATGTCTCCCTCCCTGCACTCCCCCACCTTCTTCGAGCCTAGTTGTGGCCTTGCTCTCACATTCAGCACGTTCCCTCCTATCCGCTGCACTACCCACAGCTGGGAAGAGGAAAATCTCTCCATCCTCCCGCTCCTGCCTCCACTCGGAGCCTCCGAGGAGCTGCGCGCAGACGGAACGGCGTCGTCGTGCTCCTTGGGGCGTACAGCTCGCAGGTCGATCGGGGGAGGGAGGGAGGAGGAGGAGAGGTCAGCAGAAGACTTTTCGGCGTCGACGAGGAGCCGGCGGGAGAGTTGGATCAGCTCTTGCAGCTGAGCTTTGGGAATCCTCCGTGACAGCTCCCTCGGGTCCACCATCGACACATCCTTGCGCGCTGCGAGCAGGGCCTGCATAAGTCGCGCTCTCTCCGAGATCTTCACTTCCAGCAAGCGGCTCGACGTCCTCCTCATCGCTCGCCTCCTTGCCTCCTCCCTCCACATGGGAACCGAAATCCTCGCCCCCGCCTCCTCCGCTATCGACCTCCTCGTGGCCGGCAGCGGCTTACCCGCCCCCTCAGGAGCCTCCCCTGTGTCTGCTCGGATGCCGCACTGGACGAGGAGGGAGGACATGGCGGAGAGACACTGGCGGAGGAGGTCGACCTCTCGCTGCACTGAGAGGCACGCCTTCCTCGCCACCTCCAGCATTTTCTCCTCGCAGCGATGAGCAGCGAAGGAGGCGCGCGAAAGGACCTGCGGCGACACGTTGGGAGGCAGTAGACTCTTCACCAGGTGTAAATCAACCGGCGCCTCCTCATCCCGACCCTCCTCCACCTCCTTGCGGTCGATCTCGTCCGCTGCCATCTCGAGTAGCGCCATGAAGTCGCCCAGCGCGTGCTGCGTAACATCTTCCGTTGACTCGTCGTTGACGTCACTGATAGCTTGCTCCATGGACGAGGCCCGCTGAACACCTTCCTCCCCGTCCTCAACCTTCCCAGAAGGGGATGAAGACCCTGCCTCTATCTCGGCCCCTCGATCGTCGTCGCCATGTTGCTCCCCCACTCCTGTTCCTTCATCTGCCCGTTCAGCTCCCTCCTCCTTCATTGCTTCGACCTTCACCTCACTCCCCGCACCCGCCACTGCTATCTGCTCCAGCTCGTCCGCCTGCTTGGCGTCCTTACCATGTGATCCTCCACTTTCTCCACCACCATCCTCACCCTCTGCTTGCTCTACGACAGCATACGCTACTGCAGCGCTCCCCGATCCGCCTCCTTGCTCCTCCGTAGCTGCTTCCAACAGCCTCGTCTCTTCTCCCCCTTCCCCTCCGCCGCCTGCTTCTTCCTTCCCTGCCAGACTCACTGTCCCCTGCTCTTGTAAGGTGACTCCCTCGCCACTTTCTTGGATCTCCACGCCCTCCCCTGCAGAGGATTGCAGGTCTTTGACTGTGCCTTGCTCCCTGCCCGTGTTTTCGCCGCCTCCTCCAGCGGAGGGAGGAGGTGGCTCAGAGTCGACGCTATCCTCTACGGTCATTTGCAGCACGTACCGGTTGCTACCGACCGAGCAGCAAGGGATTGAATCTCAGATTTCACATCGCACATGCCTGCCCGTAGCTCCGAGTCACAAACATCTCCAGACAGGAGCGACGCAAGGGTTCAGCAGCAGCCCCACCTTACTATGCTCTAGTCGCCTCCCTCCCCTGCTCCAGGTAATGCAGAAACCAACGTTTCTACCTCGCAGCATTCACCTCGCGCCTCCTGTCTGCTGCAAGTGTTGACCTCCGGCTCAGCTCTGCTGAATTCAGTCAGGTTACACGTTGCGGTACGGAGGGTGCAGGCCCACAGAACTATGACTCCTCAGTTGCACAAATTGAGCAAACATGGCACGGGCACAGGGGCCACAACACGAGCATCAGAACATGTCGGTAAGAAAGCTGTTCTTGTGAGAGATGTGTGACTGGGTTGTAGTGATATTGAGACCCCACCATTAGCAGGGTTCACTCCTCTGTGTTTCCTACATGTATCCTACATGTATCCTTGCTATGTATCCTACCTGCCTTCTTCAAGTTCAGTGTCATAACACAATCTCCTTCATTCGCGAGATTGTTGGATTCATATTATCGCACTTGATTTCTTGTATAATCCATCTCCGCCACTGTCATCCTTGTTTTCCTACAACTCCTCTACCATTCCACAAATGCATCGATGCATAACGACTCCTCGACACGACTCTTCCTTACAGTATCAACGTGACCATTCTTCTCCTTTGTTCATCTGGCTCTCATTTATCCTTGATCTCATCTTCGACTTCATTTCCCTTCTCTTTGCTCGCCTCCTTACCACTGCACGGTCGGCAACGCTATTTCTTGACTGCTCGTCATTGTTTTCAGTACTGAACATCTCGCTTTCTCTTCCTCCTCGTCCACCACCACCACCATGGTCTCCCACTCATTCTTGTCCAAGTGATCATCTTCTTCATTCTCTAGCTGCCGCTCCTTCCGACCCTTCACGCCGACTGCTTCCACCTGCTCATCTCGGTTCGCTACCTCATACCACTCATCGCTCCAACTGATCAAAGTTTGGGTATCCGTGAGGATCCGTTGAAGTATCCGTCCCTGCTCCCCGGGCCCGGCGACGGCGATGATCATCGGATCCGACCGAGTCGAGCCTGAGCTGGGGCGCCGGGCACTGCGGCGGGCCGGGCACCGTCACGCGGCCCGCCAGCCGGGCCCGGGCCGCCCCCGGGCCGGGGTGGGGCCGGCCCGGGGGCGGCCCGCCGGCCCGGACTCAGTCCGATCCGACCGGATCGGGACCGTACCGTACCGTGGCACGGTGGGCTACGGTACGGTACTAGTACTAGTGACGAGCGGGCCCCGGTGCCCGGCCAGTGGCTCCGACCGTCGGACTCGTGACTTCGGAACAAGGGCCGCTCACCGTGACTACTATCGATGATCCGGCCCTCAGTCGGATCACTGCCTAGTCCGGGCCGTCCGTTCCGTGGGACCCGTGACCGGGGCCGCCGGGGGCCGGGCGCCGCGGCGGCCGGCCGGCGGCCGGCCGCCGGTATCGAGCCAACTTGAACTCGGGCTTCACTCCGGCGGTGTGATGTGGTACCGGGTCCGGGAGCCTGTCCGATCGGCGCCCGGCCGCCGGGCGGGCCCGACGCGGCACTGCCGGGCGCCGGCCGCGGCATTGCACACCGTCCCGTCTAGGGCCGCCCGGTTGGCCGAACCGTTCAATTGAACTTCGGAACAGGCTACTCCTCACCGCCGCGCCGCCCGCGCACAGACGGTGCCACCGTTCCGATTCCACTGACTGTCCCGGGCGACCGTACGGTCACTGCCGTCACCGTGCCTGAGTGCCGCGCGGCCGGGCGGCGGCGCGGCGCGGCCCCCGGGCCCGCCGCCCGGCGACGGGGGCCGTGAGTGCCAGTCCGCCAAGAGGGTAGTAGGTTCAAGCGGCCGACCGGATCAAACGTACGGTGATCTCACGGGACTCCAGACGCTTGCTAACGAAACCTCTCTGACCTTCTTTCTGAATGATTTTGACCCCATACTACCCCACCCTCAAGATTTCAAGAGAAATGGACCCCTTCAACAGTTTGTTCCGACTCTCTGGCGACAGGATGGAAGCCTGGCTGTATCTCAACCTCGCAATAATTCGAATCATTGCGTTTATGAGTCCAAACGATCACGAGGGCATAGGGACCTTTACACGCACGCGCATCCCCCCGGAGAGGGCGGCGGTTAGATACAGCGACTCCTTGAGAACAATCCCATTTCTTAAGATCGAAAAGACTCTTTTTGAGCTATTTAATACGTCTACGACTCCTCTAGAAGCCCCACTCCAGAACTTTTCGTCACGCGCCTCCCTGTCGCTGCCCTGGTTTTCCCTTGGCCGTGTCTTGTCACATTCTCAAACCTTCCTCCGCACCCGGCGTCCCACTACCTCTGAATCCCACTGCTTCCTGTGCGCGCTTCTTCCTCTGCTGTATCCCTAGCTCAAGACTTGCCCTCTTTCCCACATACAAGTTGTTCCAAGAGCAGAGTACTATTGCGATGAATTTTATGATGCCCCTTTCCCACGACTTTGGTGCCTCCCCCATCCCTCTTGATTCAGAAAATTCACAGCGGGAAAATTCTCCTACCAGTGTCTTCGGTGATCATTCCTCTCATCTCGGCGTCGAGGATCAGAGTGCTAAGCTTCCATTTGCCTGCGCGCCCAGCAATCTCTACCGCATGAGACGCTGGCTATCGTCAAGACGGCATCCAACTAAGAGCGCCTGCCTTGTATGCAGAAGCGCCAAGACCAAGTGCGATGAAACAAGACCTTGCACGAGATGTGTCAACAAAGGGCTGACATGCTCTGAACTCCCTCCCTCGGAAGGTGGATTCGACGAGTCCTCCGAGAAGCCTGAGAAAAAGTCGACACGATCGCGTGGCTCCAAGTTGATGAGGAGGATCGAGATAGCAGAGATATGGGAAAGGGAAGCAAGCTCTCTACTCGACGAGGCCTTGAGGCACGTTCTTTCTGAGTTTGATTGATGTTGTGTCATTGTGAGAGTGCCAAGTGTGTGAATAACGTGAGTGATTAAAGTGTCTCACTGCAAGCCACGATCCACATACTCACATACCCACACGTACCAGGACATGATTTACGTTAGCATATCATGAAGAAATGATTTATATCCGTGTCTTGAGGCAATCCACGGATTCATTGCTTGAATGCACATTTCGTACGACTGAATGCTCTAGCAATTGTTTGACCCCACCCACATGAGCGATAGAATACCAATCTTCAAAACATAGCTGAATTCAAACGAGGCTAAGACACAGCTCCGTCCATACGAAAAGGTAACACCATGTCTGCGCAATGTCTTGGTATGTATATTAAATTACAACAGACTCGCTGTCCTGGGACAGGTATACAGTATGACACCAACTTGTCTCAATGATCTATCTTCTTCTTCGATCTCGTTCTCTTCGATGCTGATAGGACTCGTTCTTCGTCCCCAGCTCCAATTTCTTCAAACCTGCTTTCTGTCGATGACGAGGCGTCTCCCTGCTTCATACGGCTCATCATAGTCTCGTGCGACTGCAGCATGCAAACAGGGATCAGCGTTGGAGATTGCAAGTCTACCCATCACCTTCTGCATCGCCAGAGCAAAGAGGTTTGCGAGCTGCGACGCTAAGAAAGCAAACCAACGAGAAGCTGTAGTCTTGAACGCCGCCTTGGAAACTGCCAAACCGTGATCGATGTCGTTCTCGTGGTGATGGAAGACTTCCTCTACAAAGTTGTCGTAGACGAACTGAGAACCTGTAAAATTTCCATGCACTAGCCAAATGAGGAAGAGGATCTTTGATTCGAAGTAGAATGGTATCCATGCGATGAAGAAATCCAAGAAATATTCCGAAAACTGCAAATTTTGGGAATGACCGTATCGTCAGGTCCAGAGCAACATTCGCCAAGACAAAAATTACCATGAATATTCCATTCACGGCCCAAAAGGACAAGATCCGTCTCATGTCTAAAAGATGTTCCACTTCTATTTCACTCGTGCTTTCACAATTCTTGAAACATTTGAAAGTCTTGTAAAGGGGGTAAAGGTGACCTACCAAGATGCATCCTAATCGCGATAAGCTTGATCCGATCATCCTGAATAATTGAAAGGACGAGATTAGACAGCAGACGACTCACCCTGCAGTTTCAAAGAACTCCACAAGAACAGCACACCAAACTTTTCGAAAACAAGACAAGGAAAAAATACGACATTTCAGAAGTATCTGCCCTGCAGTACTTTTGGAGGTCCAACCTGCACGGTCTCAGCCTCAACCGTCTGCAAGTGTTCAATCGATCTTCTTGCAATGCTCTACTTGTATGCTTGCTCTCAAACCAAATTACTCCTTGGGCTGACGCCGCGATTCTATCTTACTCCCTCCTCCACACCCTGGCAACCTTTTGTTCTTCTTCTCACAGCACATTCATCTTCTGTGTGCGTCTTTGTCACTCGCGTGTCATCTTTACTTCCACTTCTCCTTCTCCCTTCCCGCTCACTCTCCTTCCCACTACTGCTTCCTTGTACGCCATGTTTCTCTGCTTGAATATGTAACAGATCTGTAACACTCAGCTACACCCGGCCGGCCCGGACTCCCGGAGTCCGACGCGGCGGCCGGAAGGCGGATGGTGACCGGGCCCGCTGGCCTGCCGCGCCGGGAGGCTCAGCGCCAGCCGCGGGGCCCGGGGCGTGCGGCGGCGGCACGGGCGAGACTAGGAAGCGGCGCCTTGAAGAGAAAAGATCGGACATTGAGACTCAGGCTTCCCGCAGGCTCAGTGACTGCCGGCCGCACTGCGGCACTGACCGACGGTCACTCACCGTCCGAATCATGGCATTCCGGAAATGATGATTGCCCGCGGCCTCACGCGGCCGCCGGGGCGGCCGCCCGTGGCGGCCGGAGTGCTGTGGGACCGCAGACTAGCCGGGCGCCGGACCGTGATATACTATGCCAAAGTCACGCACTGCCGATATCACCGTCCCACGCGCCGCGACTCTCACATGGGCCGCCTTGAAACACGTAAGTCGTCTTGGTTTACAGGAGCCTCAGAGTTTTGTTAACTCGGCGCTATCTGACTGGCCGCCGGCAAGGCTGCCGGGCATCATCCGATGATCGGCGATCCATCAGCCACAGCGTCGTCCGACTGCGGCCGTCAATCCCGGGCAATCTTGGTCTCGGCAGCCGCTGTGCCCGCTGAGGACAGTGAGGAGGACACGGTTTGCCTTTAAGTTACTTGGAGCCTCAGCGGAGCCGTACCTTCTGCGAGTCACTGAAAACTCATTTAACTACTAGGCTTGCCATCCGAGTCAGCACGCGCCCATGCGTCCGCTGTCGCGCCGGCCTAACTTGAAGGGAGTTCCACTACAGGCTCCCTGCTTGTCCGATCTGCGCGGCTTCCGGCGGCGCGCCGCGTCACGGCGGCCGGGCGTGGGCAGCCGCCTGAGCAGTGATCGGATGATTTTTTTTGGTCTCGGTGTGTGAGGACAATGTTTACTCAGCCCCGAAAGTAAAAAGTGCCTCAAACAATGGGTTCCGACAAAAGTGAAGTAAAATCCCTTAGACGCGATACCGGGCCGGAGGAATCCGAGTGACCACTGTAAGTCGAGACGTCCGCCGCCGCCGCAAAGCTGGCGGCCGCGGACCGGAGGTAGAGTTTTACTCGCAGAAGGTAAAAAGTGCCTCAAGCAAAACAAAGCAGGAACAAGGAGGTTTAACAAGCAGCCACCTATCAGCGCCTCGCCATGCAGCTTACCGTCTGGAGGCGCTCCTATCTGGTGCGAGGCGCATGACGCCCTTTCGGGTGCGAGATCTCCGACTCCGATGGGGGAAACATCCAGAGTGGAGCCGACGCGCCCACTGTGACGTCGGATGCCTCCGGAGAGCTCGACACCACTGGGGTGCTTGCTGCTAGTCCCGGCGAGCTCGCCTGCCCGGACCGATGCCGCACTGAGTGAGGTGAATTTACTGGCAGAAGGTAAAAAGTGCCTCAAGCAAAACAAAGCAGGATCAAGCTAAGCCTCCAGGCACACAGTCCACAGCGAGAAGCTGCACAATCACACACAAAACACAAGCCCGAAAAGAACCAGCACTGCTGGCACCCAGACGCGGCACCGCCAGCCCAAGCGCGAAGCCGCGCAGACAAGCAGCCGAAGGGTCAAGCAATCAAGCAACAAGCAGCAGGAGCATGCAGGAGGAAGAAAATCCCTTAGACGCGATACCCGGAGGCAGCCGACTGACCACTGTCAGTCGAGACGTCCGCTGCCGCCACAAAGCGGGCGGCCGCGGACGGAGAAAGGGCAGCCGCCGACAAGGAGCCGGCGTTGCCCGGGGGTCCGCCTGGGGCAGCGGACGGAGGGAGGCTGGACACAGGAACACGGTACCGCTCGAGGTAGTCCTCCTCGCTAGCCTCCGAGTCAGCGGTAGCCGAGTCAGTGGTAGCCGCCCGTGACGGCGGCGACGCCGCGGCAATGCCCAAGGACCGGCGTGACCCGACCGATGCCGGGGAGGAAGCAGGCGAGCTCGATACATAGCAGCAAGCACCCCAGTGGTGTCGAGCTCTCCGGAGGCACCCGACGTCACAGTGAGGGACGGAGACGCCTCCGAGTCGCCAGCTCCGCGCCCATCGTCGGGGCCACTCGAAGGGTTTCCCCCATCGGAGTCGGAGACCTCCGGCGAAGACTCCTCGGGCGACTCGACAAAGTCCGAGGAGGAGCTGTCCTCTGGCTCGAGGAGTGCTTGCGCCCGCAAGGGCGTCATGCGCCTCGCACCAGACAAGAGCGCCTCCAGCGTCAGCTGCATAGTGAGGCGCTGATAGGTGGCGGCGCGTTGCGAGCCAAGACCTCAGCAGCAGAGCTCGGACCAGCAGCAAGCACCCCAGTGGTGTCGAGCTCTCCGGAGGCACCCGACGTCACAGTGAGGGACGGAGAGTAGTATAGGATTTACTTGCAGAGACGAGATGTCCCGGAGGCAGCTGACTGACCACTGTCAGACGTCACAGTGATTTAGAAGCAAAACAAAGCAGTAACAAGCTAAGCCTCCTGGCACACAGCGCACAGCGAGAAGCTGCACAACTTGCACACACAAAACACAAGCCCGAAAACAACCAGCACTGCGGCAGCGGACGTCTCGACTGACAGTGGTCAGTCGGCTGCCTCCGGGTATCGCGTCTAAGGGATTTTATTCCTCCTGCATGCTCCTGCTGCTTGTTGCTTGATTGCTTGACCCTTCGGCTGCATGTCTGCGCGGCTTCGCGCTTGGGC